ACTGCCGTTGCCGATGGTAACGGGGCCCCGACGCGCATGCGCGATGCGGGGCAGCCGCGTGTGGATGGGCTGGAAGGGCGCGTCCGGCGTTTTCCGAAATCTTGGCGCCGCCGAGGGCCGTGACGTCGGGTGCCGATTCCACACCTATCAGGGGTCTCATGGGGCGTCGGTGTCGCAACCCAGACCTACTTTCGTCCCTGCGCTTATTCCTGATCGTTAGGTGGCTAAGATGGCGAAGTTAGCAGTTCCGCCTACCTGGATGGAACTTGGAACGACACCCCCTTCCCTGCTAATGATTATTGTCTTTTATATTGCTGGGGGAAAAATCTTAAATTTAGCACGTTTTCCCTTTTCAAATAGTTGAAGAAAGCATCGGTTTTCTCAAAAGGCAGTGCGGGATCCGTAGGGAGGCTTGTTGACCCCCTGTGGATTCGGATTCGTCCGTAGTGTCTGCAGTGTTTACCGCCTCCAGGAGTGATCACCGCTCTTTAACACACCCTGCCGGACAAAACGGAGATGTAGAGAGAGAGCGATTTCTGCAAATCCGGGGAGCCATGACCGGCTCAGGAAACGGAACAGCCAGACATGCTCGGGGTATGCCATGAGTATTCTAGAAACTTCCAGTGCGGAAGAGGTGGAGACACGCAGAGAGCCCGGGGAGTCGCTGAGGCCGAGAGTGGGGAGAGGACACGCTTTCTCCCGGAGCCTCGCATGCTGTTAGGGGTTTGTGCTGATTCTAGCCACTGCACATTGCTATTTATATAAAATGGGTCCCCGCGGGAGCTTTTTAGATCTAGGAAGGATTTTAGAGACCACATTGCACCCCCTAAACTAGAGGACGAGGAGACTGACAGCCAGGGTCACGCGCTGAGACCTCAGGGCAAGGTGGGGCCTTCTGAAGCTTGAGTCTGATAAAACCAATACTTTTTTTTTTTTTTAAGAGTTTTTATTGCCTTAGGGTATGTGCACTCCCTGGAGAGAGAGACACACAGAGACGGTGAGAGGGA